TACTGCATTTACCCACATTTTGTTTTCAGTTTCTATAATGAAAAGATAATGCTTTAAAAATGGAATTTGAAGAACTTTGATTCAAGAAGCCATTGAATGTCTGATGTTATTATTCATTTTTAGAATGAAATATTTAGAATACATTATAAATATTATTTTTCACATTTAGCTTTAATCCCAGGACTTTCAATTCTGTTTCTTCCAAATAAAAACATATATTTGAAACACAATTTGCATTTTCTTTTGAGTTTTTTAATTTGCCTTTTTTAGACATCAGAGAATTTAAGGCTGAAATTGATATCAGTGAATAAGAATTTTGGGGATTATACTTAATACTCTCCTTTCCCCATTTCAGACCTTCATTAAAACCACAATTGATATATAGAGATACATTTTAATCAGAAGTGAAATTAATTGATATAAACTATACCATAGTCTATGATTTGTATATACGTGTACTTTTTCGCCTGCTCGGTATCTTTGAAAAAGTTACTGGGTTTTTAAAAGCTGAACTTAATCCTTAAATGAGGAAAGAGGATATTTTAGAGATCTCTTAAGATATTCATTTTCCGGCTTAAATAATACAGGCAGGCAAAATGATACACACAATTATGCAGTGAAAGAAACTGAACAAAGCCCTAGAGAATGAATGAAATAGGAAATTGTGAGATATTGGGGACTAATTTTAGGATTTGCTGTTTTGCAACACAGTAGGAAGAAAAGACTACAAAGGATTGACATAAAGAACAATTATTAAATGTGGTCGCTTTAAGTGACACTTTCCACTAAAGCCATTTTAAACAAATTAGCTATTATTAGAAGTAAAGCCACAGTGTTTAAACATTGGGTATCTATGGAAATAGTTTTTTCCCCCCCTTAAGGTAGACAGTTAAATTTATCTCCAAAGACTTTCAACTATTATTTGCCCTTTTTTCAAATACAGCTTTCTTTTGAAATTCTTCTTTATTTGAGAACTCCACTACAAAATTCAGAAAAGCTCAGTTTTAAAGGACAACTGAGCTTTGATATATACAAATAAGACTGCCTTAAAATATAAAAGAAATAAATTTGTTCCTATCTTTACCCATAGCATAATACTCTCATGGAATAGAGGGTGTTAATTCAGTGGGAAGATCTGTATGATTTGTCCTGCCCATATATTTATGTAATTCACACAGAGCTTTCAACCTTAAAGAAGAAAAGCATGCCTATATTTCCAGGGGAGATGGCTTATGGTGTAATATTCTGGCTTGGAAAACACATTGATTGGTCCTATTCAGAGGTCAATTTAATGTATAACCAATTTTCTGTTAGAGTATCATGTTCATGTAGACCATTGTGTATCTATGTTAGAGTATCATGTTCATGTAAATCATTGTGTAAGTACCACCAATATGTGGTAAACATTGGTGTTTCTGTTTGTTTATATTTGACAAAAGGTTCTGATGGCTTCCCAAGTCATGTATGTGGTGAAATCTGTGTATATCACACATCAGAGTATAGATGAAAAGATGGGAGGCAAGGAAATGAATGGGAGGAGCATGACCTGTTGCGTATAAAGCCTTGTGGCTCATATATTATTCTCAAAGAGCTTAGTAAACTTGTAGATGGAATTTATAAAGTGCTTTTTGTAAGTAAAACAAACAGTGGGAAAATCCTAAATGTTAACCTTTACCCATGTGGAACAATTCTAGTGCAGCATCTTCTTAACTGGTAGATATAGCTGAAGCCTTCTAGGCCACATCACTTCGCTTACAAACTAATATAGATGGGAAACTAATGTCACAGAAGTAACATGACTAAATGCCCATGCCATTGTGTAAGCAAATGCATAATTCTAGACCAGAAAATGGCAGTTTTTAAAAAAAATCTCTTACATTGTGGTGAATATTTCACTTTTTGTACCATAAATTGATTTTAAGTATGAGAGGAATATTATTTATTAATATATTTCAATGTCTTTTTCTTTGAAAAGAATTAGAACTGTAAATGTAAATTTCAAACACAATTGAAAAATGCAGTATCATAGCAGAACAACTGCAGATTATATATATAAAATGTGTAAATGGAAAGAAGGTACAAAAACAATAAGAAACCTGCTTCAAAGATATAAACAATTTAGAGAAATTTCACTAATTCGTACCTTTCTCCCTGATGTTTTAGACTGCTACATGCAGGGGAAACATTAAGTAGTATAAGCCCACACATTCACATAAGTATATAATTTGATATAGTGCAGCTCTGAATTTGATTGCCTGACTTTGTGTAATATCTAAGTAATTTCAGTATTGAATGCCTTATATTCAGAGCTTATATTAAGGTTAATTTTCTCTACAATGTACAATTTTGTAATTAGAATTTTATCTAATAGGCTATAGATGGTGGTTCTTCTGTACCATTTGTTTCCTATATATATATGGCTGGGTAGGAAGTGATTGTATTTTGACTTCTACTAATTTAAATCAGTAAGAATTTAGTCATGATTTACTTATTCATTTCAATGAATTTGCTTTAAACATGACTAAACAAAACAGGCATTAAAAATGTGCAGGGAGGCTGATTTCTTATAACCCTAGCCCTGTTAATTCACCTGGTATCTCAGACCGCTTGACAGAAGCATCTTAAACCATTGCTGTCGGAGGTTTGGGAACAGGATTACAAAATCTCCAAAGCAAACGGGAATGCTCTTTTGCTTTATATTCTCTCTTTCCGTTCCCCATCCCCCAAACCACTTCAGAATCTTGCTGGTCCAGAGTGGTCATCATGGTGCATATTGACTTCTTCAGAAGCACTTGCTTTCAAAGAGAATGTTAGAGAAAAAGATACCATTTGTCAGTAATGATATGTCATCATTCTAAGGAAACTGTGTGTCCAGTCTCATCCATAGCTGCATGTTTATCTGGTAGATGGAATTGCATTAGAGTTCATGGTGCTGCGTGTTGGATCACGAGCTGTCTTGCTTCCCTCTGCTAGCAGGGTTCAGATGGGTAGAGTGGGAAACGACTACATTGCTTTGAACAAGTACAAAACTACGTGTTGTTATTTTGGGTTCTTACTGCTTTCCTTTTCCTCTAAACGTGGGAGCTTTTTTGGTGGCCATTTGTGTGGTATAACAAAATTAGCTTCAAAAATAAGGGGATTTAGTATTGAGAAATGCTGTTTGTTTTTTTTTAAAATCTAACTTCTGTAAATTTGTTTTAACAGTGCAATTCTAGTTTGCTAAGTATGGGAGGAACAAGATGTGCCTCTCATCGGGAACTGTATATATATTTTCCAGTTTTTTCCTCACCACCAGAAGTAGTTGAAATATGGCCTCACCTAATATTATCTAACCTAACCTTTCTCAATCTTTTTACCCTGGAGGACCCCTTGAAATGATTTTCACATCTCAGGGAACCCCTATATAAAAATTATTATATCTACAGCTCATGAAGTTAAAAAAAAGTGTGTGTGTGTATGTGTGTGTGTGTGTGTGTGTGTGTGTGTGTGTATAATATATA